GTCTGCGTCTCCCGCGTCCCCCGATTGGCCTGGGACGGCGAACTGCAGCAAGTGGGGGCCACGATCGGATGAACCTGCTGCGTCAGCAGGTAAATAAACTGGCCCGGCCCGCCAGGGTGCTTACCCTGGCGAGCCGCATGCCAAACGTTGCCGACCCCTGCCCTAGAGTAATGCAGCTCTGCATTTATTAGATACAATTCTGATGATGTTCATATAGTTGCAACCATTATGCCAAGCCTGAATTTGGGCTTGAATTGTAGGCAAACCTTCTTCTTTTTAACTTTTTAACAGTTTTATTTCAGGTATATTTATTTATATCTCTGCATACACATTGTTGTTGGTTTTAGATCTTAAGCAGTTTCATTTAAGTCAAAACAATTCATTAATTATAGTTCTGCTTCCATGCAAAAATGTCTCCTAATACAATTCAGGGGAACAGAAATGCATAAATTCTGATTGTTAAACTTAATGGTTTCTAAAAGGCATGCTTTCCTAATTCTGACAAGCGTCTGGTAGCTCTTTAAGGGACTGATCCAAAATCCATTTAAGTCATGTGTTTGAACAAAGGATCATGGGCTGCTGAGGACAAGTCTCAAAATGTATCCAGACTTAGACTCCAGACTTAGACTCCAATCCTGAAAAGTTAGAGGACATTTCAGAATTTAAAAGACTTTCACTAGGTATGTTTTTGTCTGTAATATGGAGGGGCTTCAGGGTTTTAATATATAGCATGGAACACTTTCATCCTTTTAATTTAGTACGTTTGCCTCCAAAGGTTCCAAATTCATAGCTGAATTCATGTTCATTCTTTGGCTTCCTGCTGGCACGAGTTCCATAACATGCTAAAATATTCCATATGCGGTATTATTTCTTTTGTTGTATTCTTCAGTATGAAACTTGCGACGAGGTGGTATTTCCTTCAACAACCTCTTTAAAAGGCTCAAAGTAGCCAGAAGCAAGACCCATTTTCTTCTATTGAGTACAGTTTGCCATACTGTTGGCAAATGGTGAAGTACGAAATCCCCTCTTCAGGTATATGTTAAGTGTTTAGAATAACAAATCAATATTTTTTGGCTCAGTAATCTGAATGAGTGTTTGTATGCCTGCTGCTAAAGGCCACTTGAGCTGCTACGAGAATCTGTACCTTTAAAAATAAAAAATTAAAGGTGATTCTTTGTGTGTCAGAGTGGATCCCAGTGTAAGTGTGCCTGTGTTTCATGTACACAACCTCAGAATCTTTTGAATAGCTGGGTCTATCAGGGCGGCACATTCTCAGCAAATTCTCCATTTGCCACTCCTCCTCGCACCCCAGTAATTGAGGGACGTGAGGCTCAAGCTGCACTTCTTCTTGCCCTGCCATGAGTAGGGGCAAAGCAAGCCCAGATGATGTTCCAGCTGCCCGCTCCATGCGAAGACTCATCTTTTTCTCCTAGCAAGGCAGTTGCACCAACCCTAACTCACCTCTGGAAGACTTTAGGGCATTCCAGGAACTTCTAACAAGACAGCAGACACCTTGGAAATTGAGATGTCAGTAATCCAAGAGAACATACACAAGCTGTTCAACATCTTGAGCTTCTCAGTGCCCACAAAGATTGCCCTGCTGGTTACAAGGGCAAGTTGGAGACTGCAAAGAATCACTGGCACATGCTGGCCTCACTTCTTCTAACTTTGAAGCAAGTGCAAAAACATTACCAAGTCCCGCCTAAGGGCTTTGAACAGTTCTTCTCACATCCCACACCAGGATTTCCAGTCCTTTCAGTGATTCAGGGGAGAAAACAAAACAAAGATCAAATAAAGGGACCCCAAAGAATAAGGATCTCAAGAAGCTGGATCTTTTGGGGTGGAAAAAAGGCCTACTCGGCCTCCCTGCAAGTTAGAACCACTCATTATCAAGCTCTGTTTTGCAAAATAGAGCTTCCTGATATTGGAATGGGTGACCCTCTTCCTGTTGAGGCTCCCACAAGAGTGCCGGTAGGAACTCAAAGACCCCATCAAAGAAGGGCAAA